CGTGCACAGAGGAAGCACGTTGTGCAAGCGTTTCTGTCATTGCATAACATCATCTCCCAGGTGATGAGGCCCCAGACGCTTCTTTGAGCTCCATGTTTGCATCATCCATCACCTGCAGGCATTTTTGTAAAGATGTTTCTGAGTATTTCTGTTGTCCAAGTTGTTCACGCAAACACCCACGGGCACACGCACACGCGCGTGAGTGCGCGCACACGCAGACTTCTCTCCACCGTGATGGTTCCCCCGGGTGACCCTGCACTGTTTGGCGTTTGCAGACAGACAAGGTGAAGCTCACCTGGAGGGACCGCTTCCCAGCCTACTTCACCAACCTGGTTTCCATTGTCTTCATGGTAAGTTCCGGAAGGCTAAGGGGGGAGGAGATCAGGGGACCCCACCCACAGGGAGCTGTGCGGAGCTCACCTAGAGCGGGGTCAGCCATCGACCTGGCTTTGCTGTGACCCCAGGGCGTGGTGGGGCGGCGGGGGTTGGGGGAGCTCTCTCCGCTGCCCCTAAGGTGGGCAGGGACCCGGGTTCCACAGTGACCCCCGGGGGATCCGCACGCCCGGAGGTCACGAGATGATTGCACACAGTCCCTGATACGCGTCTCTCGTTCTGAGAGTGACACGTTGGAGTAACTGGTCATTCAAACCTGGGATTTCACACATCTTATTTAAAACAAAACTGCGGAGTTTTAAAGGGCAACATTAAGTAAATAATGCAGAGACAGGACAAAACTTAGAACGGTGCTACTCAAGTGACCACGGGTCTGGACCCTGGGCTCGTGGATGATGCTGATCTGAATAAGTCGCCCGGTGCCTCCACCCTCTTTGGGGATTTTAATCCCAAATTGATGGGGCCTCCGCCATGGAATGTCTCCGCCCCCGTGCGAGCTCTGCTTTCGTCCTCGCCCGGGAGGTCAGGGCCCCCTTCGGGCCCTGTAGTAAAATCACCGTCCCCTCGTCCAGCCCGGGAACCTGAGGTCAGAGATTTTTGTGGCCCAGCCCCTTGCCTGGTACCCAGGGGGCCTGGGTCGGCCGCCGTGGACCGAGGCTGAGCATGTGCAGGGCCAGCCTAAGAGCCTTGTGAGGAGTCTCCTTCAGTCCTCACAAGGTGCCTGTCCCCATCCCGTCCCCCTCCTACTGATGAAGAAACTGAGGCCACAGGTGTGGCTGCTCTCCCCAGGCCTCCAGCCAGGAGGGGTGGAGCCAGGTGCCAATCAGGCCGCCTGCCCCAGGGCCCCGCTCTTCCGTACCGGCTTGGAGACACGGAGCCCGGGCTTGTCTTGATCCCTCATCACCTCCACCTTCCAGGCTGGAGGCGAGGAGGAGATGGAAGCCGGTGCCCCCTCTTTGAAGGGGTTTCCCGGACACCCCACCCACAGCCTCTGCTGGCATGTCGCCCATCAGACCGTTTTGCGGGGCCACCTCTGTCTGCAAGGAGGCTGGGAAGGGGGCATGTTGTCGCTCCCAGCAGAGGGGGGGGTGGGGAGGGAATCAGTGGGCCCTCGATGTTCTGGTGACCCCGTCACAGACACATCAGTCAGTGTGGTCCCCGCTGGGGAGCTCCGTTCACTGAACAAGTATTGGTTGAGTACCTGTGACGTGTCCTGGAGACGCCAGTGTGAACACACGGGCCAAACCCTGGCCTCATGGCCCTTTCCTTCCATGAGGGAGGTTGCACCCAGGAAGGGAGACAGCTGGAGGGCTGCCCTTCAAGGGGGCACACCCGCCCTCCAGCGGGGAGAAGGGGGCGCCTTCCTCCGAGTCACCCTGCAGGCCCGGCTGCCATACGCGCCTCCCTCCTGGCACAGGTTACATCCCTGAGGCCAGGGCAGGCCTTTCCAGGGAGGGGCCTCTTGGCAGGAGCGAGGGATTTTCCAAGGAAAGCCCTCATTCCCGGAGCTGGCCGGGAGTGGCACCCACACCTCGCCCCAGGCCGCCCTCTTGCCAGGATGTCGTGTGGGCGCCGGGTAGAGAGTGGCCCCTGTTTAATCACCCCTGATGTGTGCAGAAGAGTTCAGGGGCCCAAAGTCTAAACTAAGAGCTTTCCTCAATTTCGGACGGCTGGGGTCTCGCTCCGGGGTAAACCAAACACAGCCTTTCCAGCTGCAACCTGAGAGACACACACGCAGCCCCTGCCTCTGCAGGACTGTCCTGGGAGCCACCAGGGACCCTTCCAGCAGGGCGAGGCTTCGTGGGAATGAGGGATGCGAGGCTCAGGAGGGAGCGGGAAGAGCGCGGAGCCCGCACCCCGCAGGTGGGGTCGGGCTTGGCTGACCACCCAGCGCAGCCACCCTCCATCCCCAGGGCGTCCTCAGCATTGGGGTTTTCAGGTGTCCCCACCCCAGGGCAGGACAGGGTGAGGACGGGTCTTCCCGGCAGAGGTAGGGCCTTGGAGGAAAAGGAACCCAGGCAGAAGGACGGCTCCACACGGAACAAACTTGTCATCCTAGCCAGCTCCCACGGCTGTCTCGCAGGCAACTGCCAGCCTGAGTTTGACAGAATGTTCTGGTCCAATAGTGGGTTTGGCAAGATGAGGGGCTCGCCCTCGGGGATGAGCAAGAAGAGTGCTGGTGGCTCCTGGGGAGGTTGGCAGAAGGCGCCCAGCCAGACCTGCAGCACTGCCCACCCGGGATGGGACGAGGCCATGCCCCATCCGCTTTCCGTAACAGCCGTCTATCCGAGAATGTCACCGCCCCGTAGTCAGCCTGCCATCACACAAGCCAAGGCAGTCCCCGGGGTTGCGGCCACCCTGTGTCCTTTTGGGGACCGTGGGGAGAGAGAACGCACGATGCCCCACAGCGGATCCCACAAACTTCAGACTTGAAGCTCAGACCCACCCGGTCAACCCCAGCTCATGCGCTGGGTGACCTGGCCTGGTCACCTAACATCTCTGAACTGTCTCCGTAGAACAGAAACCAGCCCCTCATCCACCCATCTGTGACGTTAACACCCGTAACACCCCTGGCATTTGGTGGACGACAAGAAGTGTCTGTCCTTGTTTGGAAGCTGAAGCACTGCGGGGTGGGGGGTTGGTGGGGGCAGAGGGGGCAGAAGGGGGACGTCCGATGAGACCCGGGTGGGCCCAGCCAAGAGCATCCGTCCCCTCCTCCCTCTGCAGATTGCCGTGACCTTTGCCATTGTCCTCGGAGTCATCATCTACAGAATTTCCACGGCCGCTGCCTTAGCCATGAACTCCTCCCCGTCGGTGAGGTCCAACATCCGGGTCACGGTCACGGCCACCGCGGTCATCATCAACCTGGTGGTCATTATCCTCCTGGACGAGGTCTATGGCTGCATCGCCAGGTGGCTCACCAAGATTGGTGAGTGCCCACGTTCTGGGGCGACCGTGCCCCGGGCCGCGTTATCTGTGGCCCCGGGCCGAGCAGCCCTGAGTCACCTCACCCTGCTGTGGGACCTCGGGCTGGTCCCTTCCCCTCTCTGAGCCTTCAGGACAGCGGTCGGCCTGGACTGTGACGGCCGCTCAGCAGCGTGCATCTCTCTCCCTCCAGAGGTTCCAAAGACAGAGAAGAGCTTTGAGGAGAGGCTGATCTTCAAGGCTTTCCTGCTGAAGTTTGTGAATTCCTACACCCCCATCTTTTACGTGGCTTTCTTCAAAGGCCGGTAGGGACTCCTTCAGTGGCTGGAACTCGCTGCTTTTCCCCAGCTGGCCCCTCCCGGTCCAGTAGGAGGCTCCCCTCCCCTACCCCCTGGGGAGAGGGGGCACCCGGGCCCAGGGCAGAGCGGGCGGTGTGGGTCCCATGGCCACAGAGTTCTGGGAGAGGCTCTGCTCCTGCTGGGGTGCCAGGCGTGGGGACCCTGGGTGGCAGGGACCCTGGACAGTGGAGATCCCAGACAGTGGGTACCCCAAACATCAGAGACCCCAAGCAGCAGGGACCCCCCAGTAGTGGGGACCCTGAACAGCAGGGATGATGGCCAGCAGGGGCCTCAGGCAATGGGGACTCTGGACAGTGGGGACCCCAGGCAGTGGGGACCCCGGGCAGCAGACCCCAAGGCGCTGGGCTCCAGATGCCCCCACAGTGGGTCGGGAGGACTCAGAGGGGCGAGGACCACAGGAGAAGGTGTAAGAAGTGCAGCCACAGGCCAGCTGGCTGTTTCAAGCTGGTGGCAGGGTGGCCCCCCGTGCCTGCACCCTCTGGAGCTGTCCTGAGCTTGGAGGGGCCTCTAGCCCACGCACCGAGCCTCCCCAGCACCCCTCCTTCCAGGGGCTGGCAGGTCTGGTCTCAGAACCCCTCCCCAGGTCTCCTTCCTCAGCACCGTGGTTTACAAGAGCCACTGCCACCCTCCCTCCCCAGGGTCCCAGAGCCGGGCCACAGGGTCCCGGGCCCGCCCAGAGCATCCATGACAACACAGCAGGCTCTCAGAGGGTCCCCCGTCCCCGCACGTCCCACAGGAAGCTGAGAGGGGCTACCCCGCCCCAGCCTGTCCGAGGTCCCCTCTTGTGACCTGGCCGTGGCAGGTGGCACGGTCTGCACCTGGGCAGCTTTGCCTGAGTCCCCTCCTGGCCCCCTCTCCCTCCGGCTGCCCTTCAGCCTCGTGGGTGCCTGATGAAGCTGGCTTGTCCCACCCCTCTGTGGGTTGGGGATCCCACCAACAGCAAACCCCTGTGGTGGGTGTCTCACCGGCGAGGGGTGGGGAGAAGCCTGCCGTCCACTCGCGGCCCCGCCTTCGGAAGCACAGCCCCTCGGGGTGTCCCCAAGCCGGGTCCCTCCTTTCTGACTGCCCCACATCGTTGCAGATTTGTGGGCCGCCCCGGCGACTACGTGTACATTTTCCGCTCTTTCCGGATGGAAGAGGTAAGTGAGGTGGCGCCCGTTTCCTGGGGCCCCTTCCACTCCGTTCCCCAATTTGGTCCAACGGCAAACTTGGGAGAAGCTACGGGGCACGTTGCCTACGGAGCAGCAGCGACGGCCTGCTCCCTCCTCGGGGGGCCTGTTCTGCCCTCGTTTCTGTTCAGACAGTTACACCGATTTTTTTTTTTTCTTTTTCTGTAAGACCTTTAATGTTGTTTTCTCTTTGGTTAAGATGAATTCATGGGGAAAAAGCAGAACTCAGCTACGTTTTTTGGCTTTAACTTTGAAATGCCCGTCTCTCTCCTTCCAAACACAACGCTGGTGACCTTTGGCTTCTGCTCAGCGATTCCGGCTGCTGCGGGTCTGGTTAGCGAGCCAGCCGCCTTCTGCCGCGGGGTCCTGGCCCCCTGACTTGTTCTAATAGCTCCATCAGACCGATAGGAGGCTTCAGGGCCTGTCAGCGGTTCAGGCCTCGGTAGAACCGGTTGGCATTTCCAACTCCCAGAATAATTCAGCTTATTGGAAAATAGGGTGGTGGGTCTTCCTGATAAAGACCCTGCGAAACAGAGTAGGGAGGAGTGAGGTGGGTGTCAGGTACAGGGTGATCTGGCTGCCTGGGGCACAACCTAAAGGTTCAACCACCTGAGTACCAGGCCCTGAACATCCCAAGACGTGGGCTGCATCCACGGTATCGGATGTTTGTGAAAAGCCCATAACGTGCCCCCAGATTACGTGACACGTCCTTTACTTAGATGATGTCCTGTCAAATTCTTGAATGGTTGGAGAAGTTGGGAAAATGACTTTGAAGAAGAGAATAAAACAAAGGACATCCCTATTTTTTATGAAATGATGGCTCTCCAGCATATATTTTTGCTTGGGACTCAGAGAGGCGTCTGCTGTGCCCAGGGGGTCATCAGGGTCCCCTTTATTTCCCTTCACTCAGGGGAATTAAGCTTTTTGCCCATCACCTGCCTGCCCGACTCCTGGCCTGACGCAGCACAAGCCCGCTGAGGACGGGGGCATCAGGCTGCCTCACCACGTGGCTTTCCCTGCACGGGCCCAGCCTGCCGCGGCCCCAGGGGAGGAGGAAATCCAGCCCGGCCACTGCCCCTCCCCGGCAGTGTGCTCCCCTCTCCGAGCCTCGGTCCCACCCCGACAGCCTGTGGGCCAGGTGTGTCAGCTTCCTGGGGCGGCCGCAACACAATGCCATAGACCCGGGGCCTGGAAACAATGGAATTTTCTTCTCTGGCTGTTCTGGAGGCCGGAAGTCCAGAGTCCAGGCTAAGCAGGGCTGCCCTCCCCCCCGAAGTTCTAGGGGGGGTCCTTCCCGGCCTCTCTCCCAGCTTCCGGCGCTGCTTGCCGGCCTCTCTCCTGTCTCTGCCTTGTCTCCACTTCACCTTCTGCCCTCTGTGGCTCCTGGATTTTCTCTCTTCCAAGGACACCAGTCCCTGGATCAGGGCCCACCCCACTCCAGCGTGACCTCATTTCACTTGGTCACATCTGCAAAGACCCTGTTTCCCAATGAGGTCACATTCTGGGGCTCCCGGGGTTAGGACACGGAGGACACAGTTCTTTCACAACCCTCCCTGGGGGCTGCGGTCATCCCTCCAGGCGTCCGCGGTGGCTCGGCCGGGGTCTGACGCCCCTGCCCTCTGTCCCGCAGTGCGCCCCGGGGGGCTGCCTGATGGAGCTCTGCATCCAGCTCAGCATCATCATGCTGGGCAAGCAGCTGATCCAGAACAACCTGTTTGAGATTGGCATCCCGTGAGTAGCATCCGGCCTCGCGGCGGAGCGGAGGAGGCTGGGCTGTGGGTGCCTGGGGGCTCTCACGGTGGTCTGGGTGACAAGTGATGTGGGGCCCGGACCAGGATGGGGGCACCGGGAACAGGGAGGTGGTGAGGACAGAGGGGAAGACGGGGCAATAGCCGCCCCACAGTGGATGAGGAGAGGGTGGATGTCGAGAGGACCCCCTCCTCCCCAACTGGGGGAGGATGTGGGGTACCGACGGGCGCCCCCAGACCTGCTGGCTCCCCAGGGTTGGCTGATGGAGGACCCGGAGGCTCTTGCCTCGTGCCCTTTGAGACTCCCATCCCGTTCCCTCCACAAGGCAGCCGGCCCTCCAGAGTCGGGCACGTGCTGGACTATTTTCCATGCTCTGCCGGACCCCTGACACCCGCGGGGCCCTCCCTGGGGGTTTAAGGCGGCAGTTCACTTTCCCTGCACCTCCGTTTCCTTATGTCACAAATAGAGCGATGACCCTCGCCGCCTGTCAGTGGGGGAAAGGGCAAAGGCCATTGCCGTGGAGAAGTCGCCGCCAACGAGTTAGGTCAGGATCTGAGACACGCGGCGGCTCAGAGAATCAGAAAGACAGCTTGGAGGGGTCGGACGCCAGCCCCCAGAACCCGCCTTCTCGGACCCCGAGCTGAGCGCACGTCCCGCTCCTTTCAGGAAAATGAAGAAGTTGATCCGCTCGCTGCGGCTGCGGCACCGGAGCCCCCCTGACCACGACGAGTACGTGAAGAGGAAGCAGCGCTACGAGGTGGACTACACCCTGGAGCCCTTCGCGGGCCTGACCCCCGAGTACATGGAGATGAGTGAGTAGCGGCAGCGGAGAGAACCTGGGCCCCGGGGGCGGGCGGGGTGGAAACAGGCCGGCTTGGCGCCTGTGGGCTGGCTGCGGTCCGTTGCACGGAGCAGGCTCTCCGTAGGCACCCAGGGATTGGGGCTTGTCACCCGCAATTGTGTCACCGGGACAGGAGGATGCCCAAAGGTGGCATATAACTCTCAGGGGTGGGGCAAGGAGAGATGGGAAAAGGCCAGGGGTGGCCTACACAGCAGCCATCCTGTCTCCTATCTCTCCCTGCCTCCCTCTGCTCTGGCTGCACTTTACCCAAACATGCTGAGCTCACGCCTGCCACAGGGCCTCTGCACAGGCTGTGCCCCACCTGGAATGCTTTCCCCCTAACACCCATGTGGCTCACTCTCTCCCTTCCTTCTTCTCCCTTGCTCCAATTGTCCCCCACCAGAGGGGTCTCCCTGAGCAGTGTTTAAAAGGGGCAGCCCCTCCCCTGCACAGCCCTGACCTCTGTCCCTCCCCAGCTTTATGTTCCCGTCACCAGCTGACACCTTCAGTCCTCACCGTCCCTTTCCCGTCTGCCTCTCCCAGTAGAATCGAAGCTCTGTGAGAGCAGAATCTTTTGTTTTTTGTTTTGGGGGTTTTTTTGCTCTTCACTGCAGTACCCCCTGCACCTAGAACTGGTCCAAGTATACAGTGGGCGCCCGATATGTGTTCTCTACCTGAACGGATGAGTGAGGGAGGTCGGGAAGACTCAGGGAGGGGGGTTCTCAGAGTGGTGTGCCCCCGGCCACCATGGGCAGCTGGTTAAAATGCAGGTTCTCAGGCCCATCCCTGGTCCGTGCAGGGTGACAAGCGGGCCTCTGCTTTTTTAACACACACCTGGGCCACCGCGGCCCGGGGCCGCTGTGGGGGTGAGGTGGGGGGCCGGGTGACCCGGGCCGTGCAAGCATTTCTGTTTAATTGCCTCACGAGCGCTTCCCTGTCCTCCTCCCGTTGGCCGAGTGGGTCCACATAAGAGGCTCCCAGCTCCCCAGACGGTTGTGCAGGAAGCAGACTGACTCAGGAGGACAAGAACCTTGAGACTTTAAAAAAATGGAGGCAGCGTTGTGCTCCAGTGACACTCTCTGTTTTCTCCTGGAGTAAATTCTGAGCCGAACCAGAGGCGGGCGGGCAGCTCCCCAGACCCCGTGGGTCCCCGTGGGCCTGCTCCCTCCCCGGCTGTCTACACTCAGCAGTGGGACCAGGGAGGAAGGCCTCCCCTGCCTGCGACCCCTGACCCTGCGGGAGGAGAGACACCAAGAGAAGCAGCCTGTGGTTGGCTAAGAGACTGGCAGTCGTCTCCCCAGGTTTTAATTTCTATCCCGTGTCCCGTATCCCTCTCAGCTTTGATGAAATCAAATTCCCGGGATGGGCGCCTCCTGCCCACCCAGGGAGCGGCCCGCCCCGTGCGCCCTGCTGGCTTTCGTGTCGCCACACCGCGGCCATCTTCTCCTGGAGGGCCAACTCCAGCCAGGCCCCCGGAGCCCTCAGGGGCCGCTGGACTGGAAGAAAAGGCCCAGCTTCCATTCCCTCCTCGCCTGTCCGTGCAAGAGGGGGCGGCGTCACTGGTGATCGGGGACCCACAGCCTTGGGCCTCAGCAGCCCCTGACCCCACACCCTCAGAGCCCCCGCCCCGAGCCTGTCCTATCCGAGGGCCTCTGTCACCTCCAGAGCCTGTAAGGGGCCCAGCGTCCACAAAAGCACCCCGTGGAGCCCCCCGCGGGGCAAGCAAGGCAGCAACACAGCCCCTCAACGAGGGCTGGCCCAGAGCCCCACCCGCCACTAACAATGGCCACACTCAGGCCGCCAGACACAGGGTGACATTCTGCCGGCTTCCTTGTTTACTGCCTGGCACCGAGCGCCCTTGGACGGGCTCCCGCCGTACAGTTCCTGAACCAGCCTCCCCGCTCCGTTCCGCTCAACAGCCCTTCCCTGACCCCTCCAGGAGCCGGCCCCGAGCCGGCTGCAGCCTTGGGGGCCGGAGACACCCCAGGGCCGGGCTGCTGCTGAGGATCCTGAGCCAGAGCGAGGGGCGAGACTGTCCGGACAGAGGGTCCCCGCCCGGCTCCCCGAGGCCCAATGGAAGGGGACGCTGGGGGCTCACAGAGACGCAGGCCCCCAGGGCCCGGGCACCTCTGGCTGATGGAAACCCTAGGGTCTCGCTCAGGGCCTGTCCCAGCCCCGACGCAGGATGACTGAGGCTGGCCCTTCTGCTCACAGGGTCTTTTTTCCCATTATGGATGAGTTTTTAAGATTAGACTTGTAAGTAAGTACATGCCCGTTATTCAAGAGTCTACATTGAGGACAGAGCAAAATTTAGCATCCTCCCCCAGCCCAGGGTCATCTGAGGTCACCCAGGGTCACCCGGGGTCACAGTGGGTGTACCCCAAAAGTCTTGCATACGCAGGTGCAGGTGAGCGCGTCTGAGGCAGGGGCCGCCTGCCAGACCCGGGGTCGTTCAGCTCGCGGGCCCGTGGGACAAGGGACGGCGCGTGCTGACCTCGGCCTCCGCTCTCTTTGCAGTCATTCAGTTTGGCTTTGTCACCCTGTTCGTCGCCTCCTTTCCCCTGGCCCCGCTGTTCGCGCTGCTGAATAACATCATCGAGATCCGCCTGGACGCCAAAAAGTTCGTCACCGAGCTCCGCAGGCCGGTGGCCGTCAGAGCCAAGGACATCGGTGAGTGGCCCTCGGGAGCAGGTTCCGAGCGCGTGCCGGGCTTGGGGAAGGGCTCCTGTTCCCCAGAAGCTGGAGGCAGAGCCGGCAAAGTGGCATCAGGCACAGCGTCCCCAAGGGCTCCTTGCTGCCCCTCCCCTGGGTGACACTCAGGGGCTCGGGTGGGGGTGATGCAAGACCCCAGGGCGCCTTAACCCCCCACCCCAGCCCCTGAGGTCCTAAGACGTATCGGGCACAGAGGACATTTGGGAAGAGGGAGTGTCTCAGCAATTGCTGCTCCAGAAAGCCCACGAGATGCATTCCTCTCGGCGGGTCCTCCACGCCCACTCCCGCCCCGGACGTTTGTGTGGCCCCGGAGCACAGAGCCAGACCAGGGGGGCTGCTGTGTTAGCAGGTGCCTTCCTGCACAGCACATCACCCACTCACGTGATGCTCACAGGAAGGAAGGAGGGAGCCCCTTCCGCTGACGAAGGAAGAGCCTTGCCCGTCCAGGTCTGGCGGAGAGCAGCCAGGCCTCCTAACCCCACACCACCCACAAGGGGTGTCACATGCACGTGGAGCAGGGGCTGGGCGTGGTCCTTTCAATGTCAGATAAGGATCAGCTTCCTAACAGAGCTATCAAAACCAGAGCAGACTTCTTTGTGGGGTGGTGAGCTCCCTGTCGCCAGGGGTATTTAATGTGGGCGCCCGTCTGTCCGGGAACAGTCAGGAATGTGGGGAGACCAAGCGGGCGGCGCCACGAGCACACCTACAAGGACGATGCCCATCCGATCTTAAAGGGAATCAGCTCAAACCGGGACCCAGTTTTCAAAATGAAAACGAAGAAGTCTTTTTTGGGACTTTATCTTGAAATGAGACGGAAGATTACAAGAATGTATTC